AAGCGTCTGCCTTCGGCTCAGGTCATGATCCCAGGGTCCTGGGATCGAGCCCCACATCGGGCTCCCTGCTCAGTGGGGAGTCTGCTTCTCCCTCTCCCACCCCCCCCATTGTGTCTCCTTTCTCGCTGTCTCTCTCTCTCTCTCTCTAATAAATAAAAAAATCTTAAAAAAATAAAACAAATCAAAAGCAAACCAAACAAAACTCTTCCCTTTGCAAAAAAATAGTGATGGAGTTAGTAGTAAAATGGGTTCAGCCATATTCAGATAATCTACTTGTGTTTCCTTCTGAAATGTCCAGTATGAGACCATGTTGTGGAGACATTTGGTAGTTATTCTATCGTTATCTGGATTCCAGCCTCATTTATGTCATAAACTAGCAGCATCAGGACCTAGGATACATCTAAGGAAAGAAGCATTCATCTAAATAATCTCCACATAACCAATTTATGTGGAGGTTTTGTCAGTTTTCTGGGCAATTTGAGCAATGCTGATGGTTTCCAACTTTAATGGGTCAACTTTTTCCTCTTTTCATCTACACAAAAGTTTACTTATATGAATGATCCTAAAAATGGATCCTAGTAGATATTCTGCAACTTATACTCTATAGAAAACAAAAGTAGCCTTTTTATAAATGATGTCATAGAAAAGACAAGTCATAAATATTTTAATGGAAAAGTCTCAGTCTAACATAGCAAAGCCTAAAGTCATAATACTGAGATAACTTTTGAGAGAAGATTCTCACATAGCAAACAGAATGAGCACAACGGCCAGAATGTGACCTAAAGCAACTGCCTATGCCATACCTGTTTGGAGAGCCAAGTATCTGATGTCATCTCATATTTCTGAAAAGAAACAAGGAACTCCATGAAGCTTCTAAACATCAAAATGAGCATGCATCAATTTAACTTTTTTTACACATAGTCCTTTAGGCATTTTTTTTCCCTCTCTTCAACTGGTGAAATACCATGAGACATCCCATTGTCATTACTGATTTCAACTGAATGAGTAAATACAGAACTGGGATTAAATGATAATTTAATTATAAAATCTTTCCTTTGGTGAACTCCTTTAGAATTCCCAGTAGTATCACCAGGGATAGAAAATCATTTTCCAGTGCTGTTTGATTACCTCATTCGAACTGTTTTGAACCACTAGGCACTGTCTCTTTTCACCTCTAGGCATCATTGGGAAACAAAATTATTAAGTCCTTCAAAAGAACTGGGCAAACAGCCAGGAATAAAATGAAAAGGTAGATGTTCTTTCAACATTCAATTCACTCTCCATCATAGTCATGTTCTTTTCCTCAGGAAAAACAGTTAAACATTTGAAAGGACAAAATTTTATGTTCCATTAATCTTACAAATGATCAGAACCAAGATCATATTTAACAAAGCAAAATGAGATTAATTTTATCTCAAGTTAAATATGTATAGATACAATAAATTTTACTAGTACTGTTTACATATAGGAACTTACGAAAATCTTGTACTTTAAAAAATGAGTCTATAATAAAAATATTTAAATGAAAACTAAATCACTATATTGCAAATTTTATCTGTATGCGGAGGTATTAATTTCAAATTGTTATTAATTATTTATAGGGTTTTTTTTTTAACCAGTTTCCTCTTTTAAAGCCATATTAATACATTATAATCAAACACTTTCTCTTTTCAGGGCCTGTTTTTATTTTTGTTTATTTCACTAGATTTTGCTACATATAGATATCAAGGAAACATCTAACTAAATTGTTCTTGATTTTCTATTTGCATCTCTGCAATAACCATCCTTCGTATCTATAAAACACAGACACACAAAAAATATATCAATGCCACTTTTCATTAATATTACTAAGTTTTGTTAGAATCCATGGAAGTCCAAAGTTTCACATGCATTTATTTTCTTATTATTGCAATTATAGTAGAGAGTAAAATCTTTTTTTAAGTCCATAAATAGATTAGAAATATACTAGAAATATAACAGAATATCAATAAGGTACCGAATCAATAATATGATAGGGTTCCTATATCTATTTTCTACTGAAGCATTTTGATACATTCTTGCCATTACCTATACTAAGATTATCATATAGAAAACATGACAGGTTTCTCTAACTAGAATATATACATGCCAATTTCTAAATAATTTATATCAGCTGAATAAGAAACCATCCAGAATACTTTAACAAATGGTGAAATCCTAGTCAGCCTATCAAAGATGATGATTGAAATATATTTTCTAATAAATACAAACTAAATGTAAAGAGCATTAGTCAAATCCAGTAAGTAAATGGCTCATTCATCAACTTTGTCTCCACATCTATGCTCATCACTCCAATCAAAGACAAATTTCTTCCCCCTTTCCCTTTTATATACCATTTAAAAACTACGTTTTAATATTGGAGTGTAGTTTGCATATAGTGATATGTACACCTCTAAAGTGTTTTTGATGAGTTTTGACAGATATATTTACATCCCATCAAGATAAAAGATCTTTACACTTCCTGACACCTTCTCTCATGCCCCTTCCCAAAGGTTCGAAAAAGGCAGTCTTCTGAAATAGTTCCCCATAGATTAGTATTGCCTATTTTCGAAGTTCAGATAATTGAAATTATGTATTATGTACTCTTTTGAGTGGGACTTCTTTTACGCTGTGTTTTTGAGATGCACGCATATTGCTGGGCATATCAGTATTCCGTCTCTTTTTAAATTGCTGAGAATTCTGTTGTATAGATATAGCTCATTTTGTTTATCCATTCCTTGTTAATAGATAATTAGATAGTTTCCAGTTTTTAGCTACTGTAAATAAAGCTTCTCTAAAGATTTTTTTTTTTTTTTTAGCAAATCCTTGGTGGACACAGGTTTTTTTTCTTTTCCAAATATCTAAGAATGGAGTTACTGGAGTATGGAGTATATCTGTATCTATCTATACACACACACACACACATATATATGTAATATACATTACAATAAATATGTTTTTATATGTGTATGTTTAACTTTACTTGAAACTGCAAAATCATTTTTTAAACTAGCTGTATCATTTTACACTTCTACTCTTGAAGAATAAGAACTGCAATTTTCTACATCCTCATCAATCATGTCACCTTTGTGTTGTTTTAATTTTGGTCATTCTAATGGTATGTAGTATTATCTCATTATGATTTAATCTACGTTTTCCTAATGTCCAATAATGTTGAATACTTTTTCATGCATTTATTACTTCCTTATGCATTTCTGTTCACATGTTCTGCTCTTCTTATTGGATTGTCTTTTCATTATTGAGATGTATATATTTCTTTGTCAGATACCCATTTTGCAAAATATTTTCTTCTAGACTGCGGTTAGCTGTTTCTTAACAGTGCCTTTGATGAGAAATTTCTGATTTTGATGATGTCTAATGTATTATTTTTTCTTTTATGATTAATGACTTTTTGCCTATTCAATATAGCAAACTTATATCCCATATTTTTATCTAGAAGATTGACACTATCATCTCTTAGATTTAGGACAACAATTTATCTCAAATTATTTTAGAACATGGTATATGATAGATGTCAAATACCATAGCATTTTTCATTCGGTTCTTGATTGTTCCAGCACCATTCTTCCCCCTTTGGATTGTCTTGGCACCTCTGTTAAAAGTAAATTGATCATATAAATATGGATCTATTTCTGGAAACTCTATTAGTTCAGTTGATCTGTTTGTGTGTCCTTATGCCTCCATTGCAATCTCTCAGTTTCTGTTGCTTTCTAGTTATTCTTGAAATCCAGTAGTGCAACTTCTCCAACATTTTTTTGCTTTTTTACAAGGTTGTTTAGGTCATCAGGTTTTTTGCATTTCCATAGACATTTAGAATCTGCTTGTCTGTTTCTACCAGAAATTCCCAATTCTTCTGGGAATTCATATTGTAGTGAAACTACGGTTAGTTCACTTTGAGTAGAATGCCATCTATAATATTCAGTCTTTCAATTCCAGCATGTGGTATAGCTTCTATTTATTTAGGTCTCCCTTAATGTGTTTCAAAAATGTTGTAGTTTTCAATATGGGGATTTTGCACACTATTTGTTAAAATTTATCCTTATGTATTTAATGTTTTAAAAATTTTAGTGGCATTTTTATTTTCCGTTCTAATATTATGAGTACGTAGAAACACATTTTGTTGTTTCTCAATTCCTTATTTTGAAAAAACTGCAAACTTACAGAGAAGTTAAAAGACTGGTTCAAGAAACATCTGCATATCCTTTAAACATATTACTCATTTATTTATATTTTGTTCCATTTGCTTTATTATTATATCTCTCGGCAGTTTCTAAACTATTTGAAAGGAAAGCAAAAGTATGTTTTTTTCAAAATCAATTAAAAGTTGTTAGAGATATACTTTTTTTCTAAATAATTTATAGAAATTTTGAGGCATTATATCCATCTACCCCTAAATAATTCATTAAGCGTTTCTTAAGAAAATTACAGTATCCTGTATACTTACATGTTTTTTACAGTAAAATGATCAAAATCAGGAAGCCAAACAATTTAAGTTGGTACACTGACTTGTGAATTGTGACCCATTCTAGGTGTGTTTTGTTTTGTTTTGTTTATAGATTTCTTACTTTTTATTTATGCAATAATGCCATCTACAAATAAAGAGAATTTTATTTCTTCCTTACCAATCATCATGATATCTATTCCTTGCCAAGTTATTCTGGTTGGAGTCTCTAATAAAGTTTCCACACCACAGTGAGAATGTATATCCTTGCCTTATTGCTGATATTAAGGTAAGTAAGGAAAGTTTTTTTACCATAGAGTATATCTTTGAGGTATTTTGTGGGTATTCCTTATCAAATTAAGGATATTTTTTCTATTTATTTATGTTGACAGTGAGTGAATGTTAAGTTTTGTCAACTGCTTTTTTTTTCATCTACTGAGATACTCGTTTTTCTTTTTTTTCTGTTAAAATAATGAATTACATTGATTGGTTTTCAATATTAAACCAATCATGAATTACCAAAATAAACCCCATTTAGTCACAAGGTACTATTCTCTATATTGCCACAGATGATATATTAATATGTTTAAGGAATTTTTTGTATACATGTTCATAAGATGTATCAGTCTAAATTGTTCTCATAAGGTCCATGCCTAGTTTCGGTAATAGGATTATGCTATGCTTATAAGATGAACTGAAAAATTTCCTTCTCCACTTTCTGGAAATTGTAGTAATGGTAGAATTTATTCCCTTTTTTTCCAGTTTTACTGAGATATAATTGACATATAACATTGTATAAATTTAGGGCATACATCATAATGATTTGATACATGTATATGTTATAAAATAATTACTGCAAGTTTAGTTAACATCCATTACCCCATGTAACTACATTTTTTTTTCCTTATGATGGGAACTTTTACTCTCTTAGCAATTTTCAAATATACAATGAAGTATTGTTAACTATAGTCATCATGTTGTGCATTACATCCCCAGAAATTATTTATCTTGTAACTGGAAATTTGTACCGTGTAACCACCTTCACCCAATTTCCCCACCCTCACCCTCACCTCTCACAAACACAAGTCTAATCTCTTTTTCTGTTTTAATTTTTTATTCCACATATAAGCGAGATCATACAGTATTTATCTTTCTCCATCTGACTTACTTCACTCAGAATAAATGCCCTCAAGATTCCTCCCCTGTTGTCACAAATAACAGGATTTCTTTCTTTTTTATGGCTATTATTCTTGTGTGTGTGTGTGTGTGTGTGTGTGTGTGTGTGTGAGAGACATTTTCTTTATCCATCCATCCACTGATGGACACTTGTTTTGTTTTGTTTCCCCCCTGTCCTGGCTATTATAAATAATGTGCAATGAACCTGGGCTTGCAAATATATTTTGGGAGAGTGATTTCATTTCCTTCAGATACATACCCAGAATTTGAATTGCTGGATCATATGGAAGTTTTATTTTTAATTATTTGAGGATCTGCCATACTGTTTTCCATAATGACTGTACCAATATGCATTCCTACCACAGGGCACAGGGTTCCCTTTTCGCCACTTCCTCGCCAGCAATTACCTCTGGTCTTTTTTTATACTAGCCATTCTAACAGCCATGAGGTGATAATTCATTGTGATTTCGATTTGCATTTCCCTACTGATTAGTGATGTTGAGCACCTTTTCATATACCTGTTATCTATCTGAATATTTTTTCTGGAAAAATGTCTATTCAGGTCCTTTGCCCATTTTTAAATTAGATTATTGGGGGTTTTGTTTGTTTTGTTCATTTTTGTTTTATTTTGCTATTGAGTTGAAGGAGATTTTTAAATGTATTTTAGATATTAACCCCTTATCAGATATATGATTTGCAAACATGTTCTTCCCTTCCACAGGTTGGCTTTTCATTTTGTTGACTGTTTCTTTTACTGTGCACAAGCCTTTTAGTTTGACAGTTTTGATTTACTTATCCATTAACTTTAAAAAAAATAAAAACTAGAAGATATTTTTATTTTATTTTACTCATATATTTGTCATTTGGGGCATCTTTCTTTCCTTCATTTAGATTTGAGATTTCATCTGATGCTATTTCTTTCAGACTGAATAACTTCATTTCATGTTATTTATGCAGATCTACTTGTGATGAATTATCTCAGCTCTTATTTATCTGAATATGTCTGTCTTCATTTTTGAAAGATACTTTCATAGGATATAGACTTCTGGTTTACACTGTTTTTCTTCCAGTCTTTTAAAAATGTATTCCACTGCTTTCTGGCTTCTATCATTTCAGATGAGAGAGAGGTAGTAATTTTCGTCATTCTGTTCCCCCATATGTAATGTGTCTTTCTTTCAAGCTGTTTTAAAATTTTTCTCTTAATCTTTGGTTTGCAAAAATTTGAATATTATGTGCCTACTTATTTTGTTTTTATCCTTTTTGTTCTATGCTAACTTAGATATATGGGTTATTGGTTTTTCTTCAAATTTGGGATATTTTAAGTCATTATTTCTTTTTTTTTTCTGCCCCAGTATCTCAAACCTTGCCTTCTGTGTGTATTACATCCCACATATACAACAGCTCAAATTATTCCATATGTCACTAAGGCTTTGTTCATTTTTTTCCAGTCTTTTTTCCCTCAGCACTTCAGTTTGGAGTGTTTTTATTTCCCTGACTACAACAATGTCCAATTTGTATTTAACCCCTCCAGATAATTTTTCATTTCAGATACTGTTCTTTTAGTTTCTGAAATTCCATTGTTCTGTATTTTATAGTTTGTTTCTCTACTGAAATATCTCATCTATTTATTAATTAGGGCCTCCCTTTAATTTGCTAAATATCTTTCAAACAGCTTTAAAAAAATCTGTATCTGTTAATTCTAGTATCTCTATTCTGTGTAAGTCTGCTCTTATAGCTATTTTTAGGGGGAGGTAGGCAGGTTACATTTTCGATTTTCCTACATATATAGTATGTTTTGATTGTGTAATTGATATTTTAAATTTTAATTCTCCATTTCAAAGAGTAAACTTTGTTCTAGGAAGACAGCTAATTTATAGGCATGCACTTGATCCTTTCCAGCTTTGATATAAAGGTTTATTGTAAAGAGTACAGAACAGCCTTATTTCTAATGCATTTTTCTTTCTGGACTGTGAGTTGAATGCAAAGGGTTTTCAACGAGAGCTCTCCAATTTTGCTGTTCAGCACTCCAAAGTCTCCAAGCATTGTGCAACCTGCAGATTCTCTATTTGCTTCTCTCTCATACAAGACATGAAGCATGTCTTGTACTTGCACAGTTAAGCATTGAGCTAAAGTCTTAAGAGGTCCTTTACATAGATTGCCAGAGCTCTTCTCTCTATAGCTCCAAATCTTGTGGTACTAGTTCACTTGCAAATTTCAGCCACCACAATAGCCTCAAACTGATTCTCCCTGCCTACGTGGATCAGTTGATACCACTGTGCTTTTCTAGGGCTCCATTAGCTTGCACTGAGGTCTCAGTGTGTCCCCTACAGGAAGCTAGGGTTCTCTTATATATTTACATTATTTCACTTTTTATGTCCTGATCCTGCTATTGTCCAATATCTGAGAATAGAGGTTTAATTCATTTTGCAGAGTTTTAAAGTTGACTACAGCAGAGATGCTAGGCTGGCAACATTTACTCCATCCTATCCAGAAACAGAAGTTTGAAAATTCTGTTGTTAAACAATTGGCAATGCTTTACTAAGGACCAATACAGGCATACACACTATAACAATTTAAACTGATTACAGTATACCCTCTGTTAAGAACTTTAATAATTACACATATAAGATTTATTGCAGAGCTTATAAAAACTGATTATAGAAATAGAAATACAACCTGCTTCCAAAACAAAATGGTTCAAGGACCAGTGTTTTTTTTTTTTTTTACTCTTCTTATTTAATTTAAAAACAGACACTGTCCATTATTTTAGAAGACTAATATGAACTACCAAAAAAATGGAATTTTCGGAACATGTTTGAAGAAGACAGGAAAAACATTCTACATTCTCAAGGTAATCAAACTCAAAATATGGAGAGAAAGACATATTTCAGAATTAAACTAATGTGGCTTAGACTCCCCTTCATACAAGAATTCATTTTTTTACAGTTTGGTTTGTTCTCTTGTGCTTATCCATATTTCTCCCTTCGAAGTTTGGATGATCTATGGATTAAACTATATACTTCTAATAGAATGACTCTTTCCCAACTACCTCTGGAAGTTAAATATTGGTCTTTGTACAACGGATTGCCTGATATCCCTTTGAGAGTAGCATAAAGTACTTCATTTTAAGCATAAGAGAAAAGTGCATTATACTCACTCTACTGCAAGCGCCAGTGGTAGTCTGACAGACCGTGAGGATGGAGATGTTCTGAGGCCGGTTTAACCATCTGACCACCGTCTTGGTATTGCTTACCCATTTAACCATGGTGATATAATATTCTCTAGTTTGGAAACAAAAAATAATTTACATTTAGAGCCAGAGAACCTGTATAGTACCAATAATATACACTTGTCATTTCATATGCAAGGATAAATGAAACACTACAAGGATGCCATATCATATTAATTTCTATTTATGTATAAGTACACATCTGCTATTCTGAATAATCACATATATAAATACAAATGTGTGTATATGTATATAAACACGTGTACATATACATACACATACAAAGGTCCCGAGAATTTAAGAATAAATCTGAAAGTGAATAATATCCCAGAAAGGAAATCTTTAGAAAAATAAAAATAATCAAGATGATAGACATTTATGAATGATTTTTTAAACTATTGATTAGCACTAACATGTGCAATAAGCATACATTTTTAAGCTATATTCTATTTTTGTAAAAAATACAATCACTAATCAATTAAAAGGCACAACTTATTCTTCACTTAATAATTATTTCTTATGCATGATCTCCATGTTATTTCACTTTATCCTGGGGACTTTACCATGACAGAGCAATTAGTTTTTATTTATTTATTTTTGTGTGTGTGGTCTTTCTCAATTGTGAGCCAAGGCCCAGTCCCAATCCTATTCATTATACACACACACACACACACACACACATATATACATATATATTAATTTTTAAAATCTTTATTTGAAACAGTTTAAAACAAAGAAGGAATTAAAATGAAGAAGATGAGGGACTACTGAATTTTCAGTATAGTGAGAATGCTAATTACTGGAGCCTATGATGTTCTCAAGGCTACTTCTAGATTGGGAAAGCTTTTATTTTTCCTATAGTTAGTTTATATTTTTTTCATTGTAGAGTCTATGATTGGAAATTTACATACTATATCAAAAAACCCTCAACCCACACAGACAAAATGCAGTGGTCAATACTGATTCAATTTATGATAAAAAGAAAAAAAAAATTTCCAACAAATTTGCCCAGTTTCAGAACAGATGAGATGATTTAAAGTGCCATTTGTGAGCACCATCTTAAAATTAATCTACCCAGGGGCTCCTGGGTGTCTCAGTCAGTTAAGTGTCCAACTCTTGGTGGTGATCTCATGGGTTGTGAGATCAAGGACCATTTCAGGCTCCACACTAAGTGGGGAGTCTGCTTGAAGATTCTCTCCCCGCCCCAAATAAATAAATAAATCTTTAAAAAAAAAGCACCAGTTTTTATGTGACTTAGAAAAAAATCATGTATGGGGAGAAAAGCTTTGTGATACAAATCACCTGTCCTTAGACACATGTGGGTTAGACATTTAGCTACATGAATCTTACATTTCTAACATTTCTGAATAGCTACTGCTTCCTCCAGAAAACCAGTTAGCCCATCAAAGTGAAGATGTCAGCAGAAGGGCAAGCAAAACATAGCATACAGTGAAACCTGCCATATTTTCTTCAACAATCTCTTCAAAACATCAGACAACTTTCAAAACCAGCTAAGTCTCACTTCAAAATGCCAAGAAACTCAGTGAAATCATAACATAAAGTTCCCTAAATAGTTAACAAAGACAACTTTGAATCACTTGTGCAACTGGTTTAGGATTAATCTTTGGCCAAATGAGTGGCCCTTGTGATTCTTCAAAGAATGATATCTTGTTCATTTTTACTGTGTTTTTGTTTTAACTGATTTATTTGGCATGCATTATCATGTTCAGCAGTATGAATATTAAAAAGGGGAAAATACAGATATTAACCTTCAATGGATTTATCTAGAGAATTTAGCAGGGAGGAAAATGATAATGGATACTATAATCAGGAAAAGAAATGCTGAATTCTGACAATATATAATTCCGATTAATTGGTGTAAATGTTGTTTAGAATTGAAGTAAAAAATAATTTGGTTATTGTAAACAACTGACCAAAGACTGCAAAATCAAGGAGGTTATATTTATAGAAAAATCTAGATAGAACTGGTATATATAAATTTTCAAACCCAATCAGGAATTTGTTAGTTAAAGTGAGTAATATTACATATTGTGTCAAATGAGATGACAACCAACATGAATAATTTTTAAAATAAATAACAACTGCAACAACAAAACATAATTTAAATATTCATCTTGAGTGTTTTCCCTTTCAAAGTAGCCCTCAAGTGTAATGTTGCAAGAACATCTTCTTCATTATGTCTTCAAAAACACTGACACATATTTATTATCTATGATGGAAAATCTTGACTAAAAGGATTTCATATTAGAAAAGCAACTAAAATTCAACCAATGCAAATCTGGTGAATAAGTGATTTTTTTAAGGGGAACACTAATTTAGGTGTAAAATTAAGTTAAAATAATTAATTCATAGTTAACACCACTTATCTTTCTCTTTGATTAAATAATGTGATTATGTGTTTGTATATAATGTATCTAATGCCTATAAGCAGAATTTAGCATGATGTGCAGTATCTTAGTATAGACCTTATTTATAATCTGAAAGATAAGAGTTGTCCCCAAAATTGAATTTATAAGGTTTTTCAGGGATAATTTCAAGCCACTGAAATTTCCATGATAAAGTGTTGGGATTATCTAAAATGAAAGTTAAAATAGAGCTTGACACACAGGAAGTAAGACACATCCTGCCTGTAATCTTTCTTTCCTTGTTCCAGGATCCTAGGTTCAACTCTCTTTAGTTTGCTCATAAGTAATCAGGCTTCCTCTGAATGAGGGATTAGGGAAGGGCCCTTACCTGGAAATCACACTCCTTGGGCTGCCTGCTGCTGATGTGGCTGTCCTCCTGGAACTCCATTTCATGAACACATTAGATCTGGTGTCCCACGACCAGTGACTAGCAGAACTCTCCCCTCCTTATAACTGGCTTTCCTGCTTGTTCCTAGTCTCCATGGCTCTGGATTACCCAGGAAATCCGCAAGGAGCTCATCCTCTTGAGCCACAGAGACAGAGACAAGCAGGTTAGAGGGATTGCACTCAAGTCAAGAAAGACTTTGTATCGGCTGGGCAGTCTGGCACAAAAAGTCTAATTGTTCACAAGTGTATGTGGAATGGAGGACCCAGCATCATCAGCAGACAGGTACTATGTTAGAAGTCACACCTGCGTTTTCACTGGCTTTCTGTCCAATCACTACTCTGTGTTCACAACATAATCTTTGTATACATATAGTTGCACCGAGCTCACTCTCTTCCAGATAATCCAGGATCTCTACCCATAACTGTACTGTAATGGCATGCATGACCAACTCATAGCTAGTGATCTGCAAAGACCTTTGTTAATAACTATGAATTACTTAAGAAGGGTCATTTAGGACATTTCCATGAACACAGAAAAATTTCTTAATTTGATTTTTTTTTGTAAGACAAAAATATTCCTTGGCAGAAAAAAAAAAAAAAAGATGTAGACAAGGCATACTTCAATGATACAGGACGAAAGTCATGGTGCTATCAAGCCCAGGTGACAGGTAATATGACAATGCCACTTCAGTGATACATGCTAAGAATAATGGGTCACAAAGGGTGGATGACTAAAGAAAGATTTCAAATAAAATAATGTCAAAGACACAGAGTAAGAAGAAACCAAAGACAAAATGCTACCTTAACCCTTCAGCCTGGAGATATCTGAATACAAAGGACAATCACTTCCTCAAAACAATGTGACAAATGCCAACCTGTGGAAAAATCTACATGATTCATTACTATAAAAAATCGTTCCAACAGGGGGTGCCTGGGTGGCTCAGTCAGTTAAGCTTCTGACTCCTGATTTTGGGTCAGGTCGTAATTTCAGGGTCATGAGATGACATTTTATAAAAATTTATGAAATGTTCCTTCCCCTTAAGATGAGATGAATCATCAAACTCCCATATGGATCCGGAATGTTCATGAAGGGGCATTATCTGAGTTCCTACTGTGCTACATACTGAAGAATCCAAACAGACAATAATTAAATAAAGATAAGAGTACAAGCTGAATTCTTATTGAAGAAAAGTTGTATTCATGATCTGAATTTGTTGATAAAGGATCTTTAGCTGAATCACAAATATATTTTTTGAAAAAATGAAGAGGTGTGGGGGAAAGAAAAAGGAAAAGAAATTATGTCCTTCTCCAAGTTATGGTATCCTTTGAATTTCTTTTTTTTTAAATTTTTATTGTTATGTAAATCATCATACATTACATGCTTAGTTTTTGATGTAGTGTTCCATGATTCATTGTTTGTGCGTAACACCCAGTGCTCCATACAGAACGTGCCCTCTTTAATACCCATCACCAGGCTAACCCATCCTCCCAACCCCCTCCCCTCTAGAACCCTCAGTTTGTTTTGCAGAGTCCATCGTCTCTCATGGTTCATTTCTCCCTCCGATTTACCCCCTTTCATTCTTCCCATCCTGCCATCTTTTTTTTTTCTTAACATATATTGCATTATTTGTTTCAGAGGTACAGATCTGTGATTCAACAGTCTTGCACAATTCACAGCACTCACCATAGCACATACCCTCCCCCGTGTCTATCACCCAGCCACCCCATCCCTCCCACCCCCCACC